TGAGCTCCCTCGTGCAGGATCCCCCGCTGGGAAGTGGAAACTAAAATGTTTATCCACCCTTCCCAGAAACCTGAAGAAAATTAAAACAATAATCCACAAACAAGACCAGTTTGGGGGTCAGGGAGATAGCTCAGTAGAATAAGCGCTTGCCTGGCAAGCGTAAGGGCCTGAGTTCAATCCCCAGTTCTGGAGGAAAAAAAAGACCAGTTTGGCTGGCATGGTAAGGGAGTCCCTTCCACAGTAACTTTGAAACAACTGATCCTTTTGGTTCTGTTTCTGGTTTCCTCCACACTTTTATGTGTGCCAAGCCAACCTCCACTTCCCTCATGGGAACACATTCTGGTTTACAGGAGGTGAGGTCTGGCACAGCCTGTGCACACCTGTAATTCCAGCAGCTTGGGAGGCTGAGGCAGGAGGATCATTAGCTCAAGGTAAACTAGGCCACTTAGCATACTGTATCAAGATGAAACTTTTTTTAAAAAAGTCCCAGGGAAATGGAGAGATAGCTCAAAGGTCTAAGCGTCTGTCTGGCGAGCACAGGGACCCGGCCATTCGCTGGCACCGCATGCCACGTCAGCTACAGAACCCTCGACCCGCCGGGCCAGCCACTGCAACCAGGCGTGGTGGTACATGTCCGTAATCCCAGCACTGGGGAGGATGAGACAGGAGGGTCACTATGAGTCCAAGCTGTGTAATGAGACCCTGTACCAAATAAATAAAATAATAAAGTCCTGGGGATGTGGCTCAGTGGTAGGGCATGGAGAGGAGGGGCTGGGATCAATCTTCAGGATGGAGGCAGGAGGAAAACAAAAGCCAGGTCATTCTCCACTCCCATTTCAAAAACAAAGGGTGGCCAGGAATCACAATAGCTCAAGTTGGGGGAATGATCAGAAAATGCAGGTGGCCTCATCCATCCTAACTCATTGCATCCTTTCATCCACCAGTCTGGTGAGGATTCTTCTATTTGTGTGCATTTTAATGACTCATGGTTCACATCATCACATAGAACAGATGACAGAGTCCCCATGTCCGCACCTGCAGCACACGACCTCGCCCTGCTGTAAAGGACCGCAGTTCCTCAGAGAGCTTTGAAGTCACTGATCCAACTGAGAATAAGAGAAAGGTAAGAGGGGCTGTGAATGTCCTGGCAGCCTGCAGCTTGGCTCTGGGAATCAAGATTTACCAGAGCCACGGAAGTGAATGTCAGGGCCCAGGCCACCCTCTCTCACCACCTGCACCAACACTACCCTCCTTCAAAGACAGTGGTGCCTGAGGCGGTGGTGCGCTGCTGTGGTCCCACCATGCAAGAGGCTGAGGCAGACAATCGCTGACATTTGACTACAGTTTGAGTTCAAGGGCAGCCTGAATTACAGAGCCAGTCTCAAAAAGCAAAATGAGATGGCTCAGTAGAATAAGCGCTTCCCTGGCAAGCACATAGGCCTGAGTTCAATCCCAGGTTCAGCCAAAAAAAAAAAAAAAGATTGACCAGAAACACCTTATAAAGCCAAGACTTCAGCCTCAGGGCGCTGAAATGCTAAACTGGAGCAATCACTCTTTAACTGTCCACCTGAGGGGGTGGTTAGGTAAGATAGCTTAGTAACTGGGAACCAAAACAAGCAGCTTCATCGCCTGCCTGGCAAGCTGAAGGTTCTGAGTTCAATCCCCAGTACTGCAAAAAAGAAAAGTGGGGGGGGAAGGTGGGGTGATAGGAGGGGGGGAGTCAGCTCAGTGGCTGAAGTGCCTGCCTGGGAAGCACAAGGTCCTGAGTTCAATCCCTAGTACCAAAAAAATAAAAAATAAAAAATTTCAGAAAAGAGGCGGAGCCACGGCTGGGTGTGCCTGACCTAAGGCCCCAGGCCTTGGGTTCCATTCTCAGCATCCTAAATAAATTTAGCAGAAAAAGGAAATTAGGGGTTGGGGAGATGGCTCAGTAGAATAGAATAAGTGCTTCCCTGGCAAGGGCAAGGGCCAGGGCCTGAGTTCAATCTCCAATTCCGAAAAAAAAAAAAAAAAATTAAATTTAAAAAAAGGAAAGAATATAAATGATACAGATCTAAGGTTTTAGGTAGGAAACATAGCCTAACCACCTTTAAGTAATGGTCTGTATTCCATTCAAGGAGGAGGGAATGATGTGTTATGGACTAAATCTTCCCCAAAATGTCGCATTCATCAATCAAGTTCAAGATGTCAATCTAGCAGGGCACGACAGCTCATGCTTGCAAGGCTACCACACTCAGAAGTCTGAGGTCAGCCTGTAAGACGTAGGGAGGAACCCCTTGCTGCCGCCGCTGTTGCTGTTGCCACCACCCCCAGACAGACCAAGCCTGATAACCAGGCATCAAACAGTAATGATGGAGAAACAGACCAAGGCTTGGTAGAAAGGACAACTTGCCTGTCTCCAGTAAAACCAGCATCACCTTGTATATTCCCTGTACGTACTGAGAGCCTACTGCGTGCCAGGCAGCACGCCCCATGCAGGGTATGCCTGGGACAAAATCGAATCAGCCCCTTGTCCTGAGGAGCACTCAGATGAGCCAGGACACCGATGACAATGCCCGGAAGAAAGATCCTCAGGGCCTGGCCTGCTCCTAGGTCAGGAGTGGGGATGCAGGAGCTTGCTGAGTCATTCTTAATCCCTGAATCATAAATTTTCCTAGTTGAAATAAAAAATGACACATACTCCAAGGCTCCATGGAACTGTATTGATTCACCTCCAGATTGGTTATTGGAAGCAAGCCAACGAGTTCCAAGGTAGTGTGGATGCTGTGTAAGTGATCTTAAAGGAGCTGGCTTGGGTACTTCAAGAAGGGAGTTGACAGGGCAGAGGACAGTGACAGGGAAGGCGTTTCCAGTCAACCTTTTCCAATCATTATATGTAAATTATGAGGGCAAGTGGGAAGGGAATGGAAGAAATATTTTAAAGGGAAGAAAGTTTACATTTCAATAAAATAGTAAGTTTTCTATTGCCTGCAGCTCAGGCTCTGCTCAGGCCCCGCCCCCGCCCCAGGTTCCCTGAGCCTGCAGGCCCGTAATCCCAGTGCTCCGGAGGCTGAAAACAGGAGGATCACTATGAGTCCAAGCTGTGTAGTAAGACCCTGTACCAAATACTTAAAAAAAAAAAAAAAAAAAAGTCCTCCAGGAGGATAAAAGTCAAAAGGGATGGGAAACACTCTGAATTGTAAGGTTCTAGCAATGACACCTAGGAAATTATTTGCATCACTAGACTTTAAACTGGAGTCATTGACAATAGCTGTCATCCCAACACCTGCACTGGACAGCTTAAAGGGTAACACAGCTCAAAAGAATGCTGATTAATCCCAGCACTCAGGAGGCTGAGGCAGAAGGATGGTTTCCAATCGAGGCCAGCCTGGGCTACAAAGACAGCTCAAGGCCAGCCTGCACTAATAGGGAGACCTTGTCTCAAAAAAAAAAAAAAAAAAAAAAAAGAGAGAGAGAGAGAGAAAGAAAGGCAGATTACTTAGAAGGTACTCAAGACCTTCTAAAGTAGTTTCTCTGCCCAAGGAAAACTAAGACAACTGAAAAGGTCAAGGCAAGGCAGCCATGGATCTGCGAAATTCATCTATTTTTTTCTCACACTGTAAACGTCTACAACGTCTTCAGTCCTATGTATCAGAAGGAGTACCTCAGGATTTTTACAAGTAATTGAGATAAAGGCAGGAGGTTAAAACCATCCTTCAGGAGCTGCCACACTGGGCGTGGTGAGAGGCCTGGAATCCCAGCACTCCAGAAGCTGGAAGCCAAGGCAGAAGGATGTATGGGAGGCCAGCTTGACTACAACAAAGTGAGCCCCCAGAAAAACAAAAACAAAGTCTCTGAGCAAGGAAGACCAAGGCAACTGAAGAGGTCAAGGCGATGCAGCCACAAACCTGTGAAATTCATCTAGAACTCAGTATTTTTTCTCACATTGTAAACGCCTACAATGGGGCAACTCTTCAAGGTACTCATTCGACAACCCTCTATCCTCAAATTCGACACAAGGATTTTTTTTTAAGAGTATGGTCACCCACAACCTTCTAAAGACCTGAAGCCGGGCATGGGGGTGCCCGCCTGTAATCTCAGCACTGAGGCCGAGGCAGGAAGATCGTAGCAAGTTTGAGACCAGCCTGGGGCTACAAAATGAGCTGGAGGCCAGCCTGAACTGCATTGCGAGACCTGTCCCCAAAAAAGACCAAAAAATAAATAAACACATAAAGACCTGAGATGCAGGAAAATAGATCTCAAACACAGCGATCGGCGGCCCAGATGCAATACTCCAGTCTGGAAGCCCGGGAGGATGGCGACCGGAGTCTTTCATCTGTGGCAGGGAGCAGAGGCAAAGCTCTCTGACGCCTCCCCCGAGAATTTCAAGGACGCCCCCAACATTTGTTTATCCAGCTGCGTCCACGAGCAGGGGATTGGGCGGAAGCGAACGCAGGACGCTGCTACTTGGCGAAACCTGTCGTCTGTCCCTTTGGGAAAGGCAGCGTCTGCCCAGGTTCTCCCCGGCTCGCGGCGAGCTCCACCCAGGGTCTCTTCGCCCAGGAGCCACAGCCGCAGGCGTCGTGAGCACCATCTCCGCGCTCCGGGCGAGCAGGTACGGAGGACCGGGTCCGGCCCCACCGCGCCCTCCCGGCACCTGCGGTCGGGGGCTGCCGGAGCCTCGCTGCCCGGCAGACTGTCGCTTCGTGATGCGCGGCGCCGCTCGTGGCCCGGGGCTGGGCGGCTCCGCGGGGAGAGCGGAGGGCAAAGGCTCCGCGGCTCGGAGCAGGGGGGCGGGCTTCACTACTGCGGATGGCGCAGTCGCCTCCCTTAGGGACGCTCAACAAAGCTGCGAGCCCCCCCACCGGCCCCACCCCAACGCGGAAAACCCCGCAAAGCCTCGCAAGAGGGGTTCGCGCTCTGAGTTTGTAGCAAGGCTGGACGCACTTAAGTTCTCGCCGCGGAAATCAGGGGACCCCCCCCCCGCCCTCACAGGAGCAGGTGGCCCCGCGCGCGCCTACCTTGGTGGCCGGGTCCACGGCGGCGATGGCGGGGTCCCCGGCGGGGTCGGGCGCCGCCTCCTCCGCGGGGCCGCTGGAGGGCTCTGGCTCAGCCGGAGCTTCGCCCCCAGCCGGCGCCGGCTCGGGTCCGCGCTGCCTGCTGGAGCTCCCGGCGCCCATGACTCGCACTGGAGACGCCTTCCCCAAATCCGAGAAGACGCGCGCCCGCGAGTGCCAGGAGCGCCTCCTTCACCGCGTCCTACCGTGAACGCGCCGGGACTGCGAATGGGAGCGATGCGCCCGCTGCAAACTCCTTAAAAGAAAAAAAAAAAAAAAAAAAGCCACCACCTCTTCGCCTCCTCCCCGCCCTGCCCTCCTCCCCCGCCCCGTCGCTCCCTCGCTCCATCACATGAGCGCAGCCCGGACACGCCTAGCAGCAGCATCCCGGGCGGGCGCTTGGACCGCCAGCGCGACCGGCACCGGGGCGCGGCGCCACCTAGGTCTCGGGGAGACGCCCGTCGACCCCCAAGGCGCCACCCGCTAACTGGGGCAGGAGCCGCGGGGCTGCCCTAGGGCTGCAGAAGGTGGGAGGGACAGCGAGAAAAGGGGGCCCACAGCGTCCCGGGGACACTGTGGTGGCTGGGTTTTGTTCAGTGATTGATGATGACCCAAGGCTGGCGCTTCTACGGTGCCCGCTTGCAACCCGCCCAGTAGCGAACCCCGACCCTTCACATTGTGTCTGACTCTAAACCTCGTCCCCTGCCTCCCCTCGGTGAGCCTGGAACGCGAGCGCTCCGGGCTCCCCCGAGGCTTGGCCATATTAGGGCGGGAGCGCGGCCAGGCGGGAGCGCGGGGCTCCTGCGGCAGCGGCGGGCTGTGGGCCGGGCGCCCCGCTCCTCACCGTCCGGAACCGGTGATGTCAGCAAACGCCATCAGCGGCTCGCCGCCCTCCATCCCCCGGGAGATGGGGAAAAATGAGACTGTTACTGGAAATGCGCCGGCCCTCTTGGAGGGCCTGACGCTGGAGGCCACCCAGCCAGGCCACTGGTCTCCGTGATGCCGAAGCACGGTGGCACACGTTCGCTCCTTCGCCTTAAGTATTTTCTGAAGATAAGGCTTGCGGTGCTTGCTGCCTAAGTGGCTTGTTTTCTTTTCCTCCTTTTGAACGTAATATGAAGGGAGCAGGCAGTCACAAACATTTAAACTCTATTTTTTGCTAGATTATTTGGCACACAGGCATAAAGAGATTGAGGCTGGAAGGCAAAAAGTATCCCAGTTCTATATAATGGCAACTAAGGGCCTCAGTTTGCACAAAGAATTTAAGTCTCCATTACCAATTTAAGAAGCTGGGGCTGGGGATGTAATTCAGGGGCAAGGCACTCACCTGGCGCTGTGGAGGCCAAGGTTCCATCTCTAGCGGCACTGGGAGAAAGAAAGAAGAAACTGGGAATACTGACCCTAGATGCCACATAAATACCCGATCCCAGATCTATTAATGAATCTAAAATAAATCTATTTTGTGAGTTTATCGTTTTTTGGTTTTTTTTTAAAGTTCCACGCAAATGCTAGCTTTTCAGGTCTTTATCTCTTAGAAATAGAAAGCTGGACATGGTGGTAGATGCCTGTAATCCTAACATTGACAAACTTAATATACCCTGTCTCAAAAAATTTAAAAAGGGGCCTCAGGATATAGTTTGGAAGTCTAAGCAGCCTGCCTGACAAGCTCAAGGACCATGGTTCACACACACACACACACACACACCCAATGCCCTGCCAGCCTGGAACCCTGAGTGCACTGAACCGGCCACTGAAAACAGGCCTGGTGGTGCAGGCCTGTAATCCCAGCGGTGGGGAGGCTGAGACTGGAGGATCACTATAAGTCTGAGCTTTGGAGCAAGACCCTGTACCAACTACATAAAAGATTTTTTTTTTAATTAAAAAGGAATGGGGGGGGGGAGATGACTCAGTGGAATAAGTGCTTCCCTGGCAAGCGCAAAGGCCTGAGTTCAATCCCCAGTTTCACAAAAAAAAAAAAAAAAGGAATTGGGGTGGGGTTCAAAGAAAAGGCCCTGGGTTCAATATCCAGTGCCGAGCAAAAAAAAAAGAAAAAAAAAATAATTTCCAAAACACTTGGTCTTAGGAATTTATAAGTTTTACCAATTCAGCTTAAATTTTTACTATATTGGACACATTATAGTTTTCATTCCATAGCAGGCATTGTTTCTTTGTTTTTGAGTCAGGGTTTCAATTGTGCAGTTCAGGCTGGCTTTGAACTAACTTTGGTGCCCAAGCTGGCCTCAGATTCACAGTGATCCTCCTGCCTCAGCTCCCAAGTACTGATATTACAGGTGTGCACCACCACTCCCAGCTCTGTGGCTGGCACTCTTAAAAACACATTGCACACAGAATCAGGAATCATCCTTAGAGTAATTCCATGGTCTACTCATTCTCATTTTCTGAAGAAGTCCAATTTCGTGCTCCAGACTTCAGAGCTCCTGAACAGTAAGGACTACTGGGGATGGGCTACTCCTTAGAGCACGCGAACTGCTGCCCAGGGCCACCATCTTTGTCGGCAAAGCTTTCTGAGTTCCTCCCTCCCTCCAGAGACCTTAGTGGAAAGGGCCATTTAGATGTCACTTAGGATATGAGCTTCTGTGCCAGGCACTGGGTTCTGTTCCCAGAAATTTAAAGAAAAAGAGAAGAAAGCTCATTTGAGAACAATTAGGGTCAGCACATTTCAAAATGTATCTGTAAGGAGTACACATGCTATCAAAATCTCCCCACGCCATGAGATTATATTTATTCAGTTCTTGGGAAATTCTTGAGGGAGCTCTTCACAACCACAGGCCTTGTACCATTCACAAAGGGCTCCAAGGTCAGAGATTTCAAGACAGCGCTGCAAGCCCGAGGGCTGCGGGCATCTGATTGGATTCCAGCAGCTTCCTGTGTGTCCATTCGCAGGCTGGGAAAATGTTCCTGTTCTTAGTTTTAAAAAGAAAAGGTGTGAGGGGCCGGGGCCTGAGTTCAATCCCTGGTTCCACCCTAAAGGGGGGGGGATGCCTATTTAAAAAAGAAAAGGTGTGCTTTGACTGGTCCACCTACAGCTCAGTGGAAGAGCACCCACCTGTCATGCTTGAGTCTCTGGGGTAGAGCCCCAGCCACACAAGAGCAGCCCCCCAACGCCTGCCAGCAAGTGCAGTCTTGAGTGCCATTCCTGGTACCCAAAACAAAGAGCCCAAACCAAAATAAATGGCAAGAGATACGCGTATTTTAGTAGTCTCTATCCTACCTGAAACTTTAAGGACAGGAAGATACTAAGAATACAAGTTTGGCAGGAGTCTGGCTCACTTCCTGAATTTGGGAGTTGGAGTCAGGATCCAGAGTTCAAACCTGGCCTGGGCAATTTATTGGGACCCTGACTCAAAAATTAAAAATAGCCCAATGTGGTGGCACACGCCTGCATCCTCGTGCTCAGGAGGCTAAGGCAGGAGGGTCGCTGCCAGTTCAAGGTCTCCCTGGAGGACGTAGGGAAACCTTGTTTCAAAAGTTAAAAAAGAAAATACTAAAAGGGGGTAAGAATGTAGCCCACTGTGAAGCCTTATTCAGAGCCCTGGAGAATTAATTTTTCTGTTTTTTCCTTTTGTTGAGGTGTTAGATGGTCACCCAAGGCCTCCTGCCTGGTGAACCTACACTGTAACCCCAGCCCTCCCAGCCTTGGGGGTTACCTGGGTTTTGTTGTAGCTTTGTCTGTTTGGTTTTGTTTTTCTGGTGCTAGGATTGAACCCAGGGCCTTGCAAGGGCTAGAAGTTACTTTTTGAGGCTTGTTTTTTTTTTTTTGTTTGTTTGTTTTAGAAAGCAATCATCCCTCACTAAGAGATCCCAACGCTATGGCTACATTATTTTTTAATTTAATTTAATTTTTTTTTTTTTTTCTGGGCAGAACCAAGGATTGAACTCAGGCCCTTGCACTTGGCAGGGAAGCGCTTATTCTACTGAGCCATCTCCCTGGCCATGACTACATTATTTTTTTTTAATTTTTTATTTTTCAATATTTAGCTACTATGAATTTTTATTTTATTTTATTTTATTTATTTTTTGCCATAATTTTATTGATAAACAAAAGGAATGAGACAGTTTCAAATCAAATCGGTAGGACAGTTTCAATAATTAACACACTGCATACATTCTTCTTAGTGGTTAATTGCTGTACAAGATGGGGACTTGATATCCTATTTACAAACACCATTAGAACAAATCATTCTATTCATTAACAGAATGTAACTATATATCTATCCTAACTACTTTGAATACACAGATACAAAATGGACATTCATCTGTATACCCTTTTTTGTTAAGTTCTGTTATTTGAATATTATAGGTGTGTAAACTCAGCAAAATATTCTAAAAGACATGACTACATTATTTAAAGCTCAGAATATTACAAAGTTTGCCAGGCATGGTGGTTCATGTCTGTAATCCCAGGCTAAGGCAGAAGGACTGCAGCCAGTTTGAGGCCAGGCTGGAGTACATAGTGAGTCCCGGCCAGACTGAACTACATGGGAAGCCACTGTCTAAAAAAATAAAAAAATAAAAAATAAATGCTTTAAAAATCACAAAGTTTGGGGCCACGGAGATGGCTCAGCGGAATAAGCACTTCCCTGGCAAGTGCAAGGGCCTGAGTTCAATCCCTGGTTCCACCAAAAAATGAATTACGAAGTTTATTCATTCCACACACATTTAGGGAGTGTCTATTTTATTTATTTGTTCATTCATTCTTTTATTTTATTTTTTTGAGGAACCAGGTATTGAACTCTGGTCCTTGCGCTTGCCAGGGAAGCACTTATTCCACTGAGACATCTGCCAGGCCCCCATTCATATATTTTAGACAGTGTCTCATTGTGTAGCTCAGGCTGACCTGGAACATGGCAGAGATCCTCCTGACTCTGCCTCCCAAAGGCTGGGATTATAGTTGCAGGTCACGGCACCCAGATCTTTCTGAGAGCTTGTTATGCGCTACACAGTCAACCCAAGGCCTTCTGCCTGGTGAACCTACACTGTAATCCCAGCCCTTTCCGCCCTGAGGGTTACTCTGGGTTTTGTTGTAGCTTTTTTTTGTTTGGTTTTGTTTTTCTGGTGCCAAGCAGAGTTTATTGCTGGGCTTCCCACCCCAGGCTACTGCCCTGGGCTTGGAAGTTGGCCTCACAATGCAAGCCCCTGCTTTGTCTCCTCCCTGCCCTGGGTTTTCTGACCTTGGGCGATGATGGCCCTGGCTGTCTTCACTCTGTGGGCTGCAGGTGTTACTGCTGTCCCCCCCGGGCGGCCCGCAGGGGCGCCATTATCCAGACACTGTTTCCCCTAGCCGGTTAATTCTCTCTCTCTCTCTCTCTCTCTCTCTCTCTCTCTCTCTCTCTCTCACACACACACACACACACACACACACACACACACACACACAGTTTAGGAGTTTTCAAAGTCAAAGTGTGTGCTGCAGGTGCTGCAAGCTGAATTCATGTTTCCAAGTAAGGCTTCCCCCTCCAGAAAGACTGGCCGCACAAGACTCACTGTGGAAATGCAGCCCTCCCGCTGCCCCTCGGGTCCCTGCCAAGCCCGACGCTGGGGGTGGGGGAGTGGGGAGGGCAGGCTGCAGGGGTCCTCGGCCCAGTTCTGCTCTTGGGCTCTGAGGTCACAAGCACCTCCAGGTTGGGGGCTAGCTCAGGGCTGCAGCCCATGCTTAGCTGCAGGGTTCAGTTGGCACACCAACAAAAGTCCCACAAACCAAGTGTGTCCATGCGCTCCTGTAATCCCAGAACCTTGGGCTTTGGGAGGCTGAGGCGGGAGGATCACAAATTCAGAGTCTGAGCAACTTATTGACATAGCAAGCCCCTGTCTCAAACTAAAACCATTTTTTTCTCTCTCTCTTTTTTTGGCTGGCTCAGGCCGCCCTGAGGGTGGGACTGGCACAGATCACGAGAATTGAACCTCGGTCCCCTGCTCCTGCCTAAGCTTGCCTAAACAGGCGCCTTAGAAGGCTGAGCTATCTCACCAGCCCATCAAACCAAAACCAATTTTAAAACCTGTTAGGATGTAACTTAGTACAAAGGTTCCAAGTTCTATCTCTAGTATAAAAACAAAACATAACAAAACAAAAACCATCTGATAATCTGAGCGCCAAATTTGACAACAATTCATAATGTGGCAACCATTGTTAATTTTCTACTCTTGTTTTGAAATTCTGTACCATTTGTATTGTTTTGTGTTGCTTTGTTTCTGTCCTTGTTATATTTTTGTTTTTTTTTCCTCTTTAAAATAATTTTTTTTAAATTTAAATAAAACAAAACCCAGAACCTACTTCAGCATCTTTCATAGGATGAAGAACACAGTGAAGCGCCAGGCATGGTGTCACACAC